AAAAAAGCCAAAACGCAAAACAAAGATGTTCATTTCTAGTTGGATTTCATTGCTGCTAGCTGGAGATTGGACCCAGGCTCTCCCCCAGGCTGAGCATGCTTCCACAGACATGTGCATGCTTCCAAGCAAAGGCTAGCCCTTCATCAGTTCTGAGTAACCTTCCCGCTGCCTTTGTAATGATTGTTTGAACTTTCCTTCCTTTTAGGAGTTCAGAAGAGCCTTGCCTTTTGGCATCCTCACCAGTTGCTGGCTGTTTTCTTCTCCTTTGATAATGGCCATACTTGTTGTTGATCTGTGTCCCCAGTGACGAGTGTCATTGGGCAATTTCCCATGTACATGTTGGGTGACATTCATATGGAGTAGCTGTTACCACTGTCCATCTTCACAGCACTTTGCAGCTTGCAAACTGAAATTATTTACTATAATAGTTGCTTCTTCTGCTCCATCCCTGGAAAACACATTCTACCTTCTATCTGTGGGAATTGGACTGCTCTGGGCTTCTTGAATATGGAATGATCCAGATAAGATAAACATCTTACTGTGACAGGCTTAGCACAGTGTCCTCCAGTAAGCCATGTTCGGCATGCTGAATGTTCTGTTACACATGCACATTTTTGCTCTTATTTATCTGCCTGTAGATGAACACTTTTCTGGATAACACTGTTTATGCAGAGATGTATAGACATTGCTCTGTGAGGCTCTGCCTAGTACCTTTGTGTGTGTGTCCAGAAGTGAAATTTCTAGATAATTTATTCTCCTTCTGCTCCTCTTTGAGTCAGAACTTTCCAATGAGCTATTTTTTTTTTAATTTACTGTGGTGCTGGAGATGGAGTCCAGCATCATGGGTCTGCTCAGCAGATGATTTACACCATGCCACACCTCCAGCCATGCTTTCATTATTTCTGCAAAGAAATCTAACAATGCAGTGTTACGTGATAATTTGTCTTGGAGCTACGGCCTCTTTCCCATCCTTTGTCTTTGCATCTGTGTTCCCAGATCACAGACTTTGCCCAGTTCAGAGTGAGGCAGGCTGCGCTCTGAAGCACAGTGCCTCTCCCAGCTGGTCTCTTTCACTGAGTGGATAGGTCAGTTCAGACTGCTCTAGTCCAGGGCTACAGACTGAGCACTTGCTATGCAAGATGAGCATCCAAGTTTGAATCTCCAGGACACATGAGGGGAAGAGCTGGGCATGGCCGGACGTGCCTGTGATCCCTCAGCACTGGGGGATGTGGAAGTGGGGGATGTGTGAAGGCAGGAAGATCCTAAAACCTAATCTGCCAGCCAGATAGCTTAGCATCTTCAGTGAAAGACTGTCTCAAAGCATACATCAGAGAGTGACAGAGCAAGACACTCGGCAGACTATTTGTCTGTGTATACCTGCCCACTTATGTACATGATACCCCACATCCCACCCCAATCCATCCTACCCCCACAGACCACAATACACACATGCTACTATACTATACCCCTCACACCACACACACACACACGAACACACACACTTGCCATGGACTAGATGACTTAATCAGCATCTGTTTTTTCAGCCAGGCTGGGAAAAAGTTTAGTGGATGCAGTGTCTAGCTGAAGACACTCATGCGTGTTACAGAAGGTGAAGAGAGAACAGGTTCTGAGCCCCTCCTCTTCTTTAAGGACATGAGACCCACGGGGGCTTCCACTGTACCATCTCATGTAGATTCACCTATCTCTCATGAGCATCAGGCTGCTAATTGGGACTTTAATACATGAATGTGGGGGCCCAGCAGTCATACTGGGTGCCATACTTCAAGAAGGGAAAACAGCTTTGGAGGGAAGGAGGCTAGAGGAAGAAAGATCGAACAACTAAGAAGAGAGAAACCAAAAAAATAATGAAGATCTCAAAGGAGGGAAAGGGAGCAGAGTGGAACAAGGGGATGCCAAGACTGGGAAAGAGAGGATTACAGCCCTGAAGCTTGGCTTCACCTCTTCCCTCATCTTTGAACTAAGCAGAGGCATTCTATCTGGGGATGGTTCTGGAAGATAGCGATCAACTGCCAAGGTCCTCTTACAGTGGTGCCAAATGGTAACTAAACCAGTGTCACTTGGGGTGGGTGAACTCAGTCAGCACCCTGCAGCAAGCTTGTTGAGAATCTGCTATTCACAGCTTCCCAAGCTCAAGAGCTTGGTGGAAAGAAACAACTGGACTCCCATTTGCCCATTTCCTTCTAGACAGGAAACCATCTTGAATCAAGACATCAAGTCCAGCTTCTTCTATATCCCCAATACTTGGAGACTGGGATCCCGTGCAGGCCAATTGGTAGATCTGACCTGAATTCTTTTTGGCATGACTTTTTCTTTTCTTTTACCTTCTTCCCTCCCTCCCTCCCTCCCTCCCTCCCTCCCTCCCTCCCTCCCTCCCTCCCTCCCTCCCTCCCTTCCTCTCTTCCTTCCAAAACAAGGTCTTACTCTGTAGCTCTGGCTGGCCTGGAACTCATTATGTAAACCAGCTGACCTCAAACTCAGAGACCTCCTTCTTCTTCCTCCCCAGTGCTGGGATTAAACCACCACGCCCAACTCTTGTTTACCATCTTTTGTAGATGCAGAGCAACAGAGGTACCTGGTCTGTTTAAAATGGAGTTCCCAGGCAGGTGTAATCGAGTTCTAACTTTTTCCCCTGTCACACTCAGAGAGCCGCCCTCTCTAAGTTGTTTTCTATTGGCCCATGGGCTTCACATGATTCATATCTGTTCAGGCTTTCTGAATATGCTTTTTCTCTGTGGAACTCCAGGGTAAAGCTGAAACTAAGCTGGCCTGGTGCTGATAGCTGGCTAACAGTGTGGTCTGTGGCATAGCACACCGCACATGGTCCTGCATGGAGTCGCCATTCTTCCATGTCTTAACATTAAAACAAAACAAAATAAAACAAAACCCTAAGATAGTCTTCCTAACAAAGGTAATTTGATTCTAGGATTTTCAGCTTGACCAAGAAATAAAACATGAGTGATTCCTCTGCAGTGAGATGTTCACAAGGATATCCTAAATCCTTGATCTTCTCCTAGGAGAGGACTCCCTTGGGATATTGAGCAATATCTGGATTATTTTTTTATTGTCTAGAGAGGAGCTGTTCTGTTGTCAAATTCATAGCAAGAGGCTAGGCTAACCCTGGTATTCCCGGATAGCCCCAGGAAAGGATGATCTGGTGTAAAATCCCAGAGGTACTAAGGTTTAAAAGCAGCTACAATGTGTGTGAAGGATAGAACCCAGCCTGACTAAACCCACTCATCCAACAGGAAGGACACAGAGGACCCTCAGCAGCGGCTCCTGGCTCTGGAGTTTGCAAGGCTTCCCTCTTCCTTTGCAATTAAAATATATATGATAGGTAGATGGTAGTTGGATGACAGATAGATGGATGATCAATAGGTGGGTGATAGATGGATGATAGATGGGAGATAGATAGATAGATGAATGATTGATAGATGTTGATAGAGGGATGATTGATAGAAGATGATGGATGATAGATGGATGATAGATAGATAGATAGATAGATAGATAGATAGATAGATAATGTGTGACATCATCCATCCATGTGTCAGAGGATAACCTCAAATGTCTATCACCAATTTATTTGAGGGAGAGTCTTCCGTTGTTTATTGCTGTTCTGTAACAGGTTAGCTGGCCTTAAGCTCCTGGGAGCATCTCCTCTTTTGCTTTTCCCTGTAGTTTGTGGATTACACACAGGCCACACATCTGACTTTTACGTGGGTTCTGGGAATCTGAACTTAGGTCACGAGGGTTGCATTGCAAATTCTTTTATTATGAGACATCTTCCTGGACCCCATTTAGCTTTGTATTATGAGATAATTTTAGACTTACATCTGTGTGTGGTAGCAGTAGTTTTAATCCTAGTACTCAGGAGGTAGATGTGGGTGGGTCTACATAGCAAGTTCCAGGCTGGTTGGGGCTACATTGTAAGACCCTGTCTCTAATAATAGTAACAATAATAGTAATATTATTATTACTATTATTATTTTAGACTTACAAACTGCATAGTTTTGATCTATTTCCTTAGCAATTGGCACTTAAAAGACCTTCTAGATGTAGGAAAGAATTAAAGGGAACGTGGAAAGGAACATTTCAAGGCTCCATTGCATTTCTTACTCTGAGAAGCATCTGAGGGCCGAGAGAAGAGATAGAGATGAGAGAGGCCTGGGCTACCCTGTGTGTGCACCTGCCGGGTTTCCGGTCTGAAGTGACCATGGCATTGATGTCTGAGAGACAACAATTGATTCACTTGGGGCTTTAGAAAGATTCAGCCTTAGCTAGCTGTGCTGTGGTCAGGACAGTCTAGTAGGCTGCTACATACACGTGTGCATACTGACTAAAACACACCACCTAGGGCCTCAGGTATGGCTCAGTGGCAGCTCACATGCTCACCTCTGGGTTCCATCTCGAATACTGCAAGTGAAAACAAAGCCAAAACACAAAAACCTAGAAAGGGAAGGTCTCCCATATATTTTAGTAATACAGTAAAGTACTTCTGGCTTTTAAATATTTTAATATGTTTTAACCTATTATTAGAATTAAAAAATGAAGTTGCAGGCCTATAGTATATTGGTTTCTTTTCAGCTTGTGTTTGCCATATTGTTTCTGGGCACTGTGTCCAGTGACGGGTGACTTGTTTAAGATGAGGGCCCCAGAATCATCTGCCCACTCCAGACCCACAGAACAGTGGCATTTTTTTTTTACATTGGTGTTTGAATCCAAGGCCAAACACATGCTGGGTAGGCATTCTTTGTGAGTATCACTTAAGTTAAATTTCAGAATGTATTTTGGGTGACACACAGGATCTGAAGTGCCAGTGATGTGGATGTGACAGTGTCAGTGTGATGATGATGTTACTGGTTCGATCTGGTTGTCACCAAAATAATTAGAGAACGTGCTCTGTGGAGCCAGACTGTCTCAGCTATGCTAATACAGTTTGCATAGTGGGCCTAGGTTTCAGCTGTGTCTTATGTGTCCCGCAGGCAAATATGTGTATCAGCCTATGACCCCCGTGGAGCAGCTCCCAAGCACAGAGATCCCTGCAAGGCCGCGAGAGCCGACCAACACCATGCAAATCTCCGTCTCGCTCACTGAACACTTTCTGAAATTTGCGTCTGTCTTCCAGCCTCCGCTTCCCCCTGACTCGCCAAGGTACTGTATGATTTCCGATCTCTTCATCGACAACTATCAGGTTAAATGTATTAACGGGAAGATGTGCTATGTGCAGAAGCAGCAGGCGCCCCATTCCCAGAAGATGAGCCCTGAGGAGGTCTCTGCACACGATGCCTTAATTTCTAAAGAGAGTGACACTCCGAAACTGGATCACTGCTCCTCCCCTTCCGGTTCTGAGGACTCGGGGATCAACGCAATTGGGGCTCACTATGTGGAATCCTGTGATGAGGACACAGAAGAAGGGGCGGAGCTGAGTTCTGAGGAAGATTATAGCCCTGAGAGCAGCTGGGAACCCGATGAGTGCACCCTGCTCTCCCCATCGCAGTCCGATCTGGAAGTGATCGAAACGATGGAGACCACTGTGTAGGCAGCTGGGAACTGCGGCCGGGGTCCACCCTGAGCTTCTTCTGTTATTTGATTTGACGAGTCCTTTTCCAATACTCTTGGCATTTTCCAAGCCACATTACTAACCGTAGCAGTCCAGTGATCTGCTTAGTGTTCCCCTTATATTACCTTGTAATGACATTGTTTCCTTTTGTATCTTGCTTTCTATGTAGCATCTGGTGTCATGAGTTGTGACCCAGCCTTAACTTCACTGAGAACTTTGAGAGCGGTGGTGACCACAGCGACTCATAGGTCACATGGAGAAGCTACCCAGAGTGGAAGTAACCATAGTTTACCAGTAGCCTGTCCTTCGTGGTGAAGGCTCTTGCTCCGCTCTGCTTCCCTTTGGCGTGTCATGTGACACCTCTGTCCAGTTGGTTTCGGGGTTGGGGAGCAGCTCAGTTCTGGAAACAGTGTTGCAGCCAGTGTTCCCTCCCTTCCTTTTCTGTTTGTCACCCACATTGGCTCAGGACAAGAGTAGCCTCTGTTACTTCTAGAAGGTCCTTCGAGGACTCCTGGTGATGGCCGTGTCGCAGCCTCTGTGACTGAAAGGGTCTCTCTAGTTTGTGTCCAGTCCACCAGAGATTCAGGAGTCCAGTTCTCACCTCGAAGGGGCCACATTGTAGTACAGAACACAAGTCAAGCAGCTTGCTGTGCCCGGAGGATGTTGGAATCGGGAAGGAGTGGTGGACTCGGCCTGGGCTGGCTCAGAGCATTGCTACAGTGTCTGAGCTGGCCCCAGGTGGGTTCTACAGCGTCCACTGCCCTTCTTGATTGTTTTTCGGTTCAGGGAGAAGCATTTAGGTTTTGTAGGTATTATATTTAGGAGATAACACATCTGACATCTTAAAAAAGTACACAATAGTTTTAGTTAGCATGAAAATGCTAAGAGACAGAAGTCCTTTAGGGATTAGGAATGAATCTAATAGGTTTGATCTATTCTGCTTCGCTTGGTCGTATGAAGCATTAGAATGGCTTAGATGAGAAATGGACTAGAATTTGTATGATGCATGGATTTTATGCAAATGCAAAAACAGTTGAGATAGCTCACTGCTGAGTCAGGAAGATGTTTTCTGTAACACTTCTTCACTTTACTACCCTGGAGTCCACACACATTGTATGCATTCTCTCTCACAGACAAAATAGTGAGCAATTCCTTCTTATGTAGCTTTCTTCAAAACTCTGTTCCTAATTTGCTATCAACTGGGTATGCTCATGTGATCTTATTATCTGCCATTTCCCCAAATCTATCTGTGAGACATAGTATAAATCTGGGACCTTTTAACATACACTGTCATAAAACAAGAGTCACAGGGCTGCAGGGAGAACCACCTCAGATCCTGGCTGTGTGAGCAGGCACCATAGCCTTGCTGTGTGGTCAGCATCTCTGTACATCCCTGTGTCATTAGTGTGTACTGCAGGCAAGGAGACTGTGCTCTCTAGGCCTCCTCATTTGGGGTTCTTCACTATGTACTCTAGGAAGTATCTGCTCCCCAGTTGGATATGGAGTCCAAGTGATTGCTACTAGAACCTTCTCTAGGCTGATGAGCCCCAAACACCCAGTGTTCAGAGGCAGAATATGTGCCTTCCTCTGGAATGCATTAGTTAAAATGCCATGTGTGAGATAAGGATATAGCAAAACCCCCTACATACTTAAATTCAAGGTCTCATACCAAGGACTAGCAGGTACAGGGAGGGCAGGTTGGAGCTGCCATATATTGGCTGCTGGGTCATTCTCCTGGCCTGGGACAGTCTGGTGACATCTGGTGGGCCCTGCCTGAGGATCGTGGTGCCACACTGGCATGGAAATGAAACACATGAACCACATATCCTCATCCTGCACTTGGGCTGCGATGGCAGCAGTGGCACCATCCTCAAATGTGCTGTGGGTGAGCTCCTCAGCCCCCGAGGTAGAGAAGCAGACACACAGCAGGGCTTACTCCTGTACCTTTCCTATCTACTTTTTTGCTACAGGCCACTGCCCGAATACTAAACTAACTGGGGTCTAGAACCTGGGCTCCAAAGCCATGAAAACACGTGGTCATAGCCAAAGTTCTGAAGGTTGGCTATGTATTGGGCTTGGTCCCTTTATCAGTAATATCTGTGACTTTTGTCCAGGGTCCTGTTTTCTAAACCTCTGAAACTGCCACTCAAATTTGCCATCACTGTGATGGAATTTTTTGGATTTAATAACAATTGATGATCACATTAATTATTTGCACAATCTCTTTATAATTACCCTCACTAAGATGCACTTGCCGTTTTATAAAATTGGACACATTCCCTTGCATTCTTGGATCTCAAAACAGCATTTTCTAAATAAGCACAGCTGAGAGGTTTTTGGTTTTCTTCTCCTAACAGTGTTCATACCAGTAACTGTCTGAAATATGATTAAGCCAGAATTATTTCTCTATGCTTGCATTCTGAAATCAGCCGAAAAGACTATAAAAAATGTATAGCTTAACTGCAATTCTAGGCCTATTCTGTTCTTTGTTCTATGAAAGAATTTCTCTATAATCCTGATATTATAGTGCTGATTTGTATATGTGTATTCATAGGCACTTTAGAAATACTTAGACACAAAATGCACTATAGATGGTAAGCACAGTCGTGTTAAATAGGCTTTTGACTAACACTTGTACAGCGAGAGTTGAAAGCTTGAAATCTAGACCTTACAGGAGGCTTGCCTGGGGCAAGCCTTGGACCATGTGGATGGGTTTCTGTGGGATTCTGGCACTGTTACCACTTTTGAAAGGTTGTTGGGTACCAGGGTAATCCCACTAAATGTGGAGTATACTTTTCTTACATAACCAAGATTTTAAGTTTCAAGTGTGCCCATAACTTTTTTTGAGAAATGACAAAGCAACTAAAGTCCTTTTGGGGATAACTATTTGATATATTTAAAAAAAAAAAGGCTTTACTTTAAAACCTAGGTGGTTTTTGCCTTTAACATTTAAAGAATAATATGAGAATTTTGAGGACAACCCTGAAGAAAAAGTTGTTTTCCTAGAAGAAAAGACTCATGCCTCAAGGTGACACAGTACAGAAGAGACTAAAACCTTAGCTACAGTGTCCAAACACAACTCAGCACAACACAGTGTAATACAGTACAGATCCAGTGTCCCAACAGGCCACAATGCAACACGACACAGTACAATAACAAAATAACAATGCAACACTGAGCCACCAAGTCCAGAACAACCACACAGCTATTTTCTGACAAGTCTTTAGGATCTGATCTAGGATCTGACTGTCTCTTTTACTTCTTAACCTCACCTGCTTGCCTAATTGAAATAACTCGGTCTTCTAGGGTTGATCAGAACAAATTATTCTTATGTGAATTTGATTGCAACCAGACACTTTAGAAAGTCAAAATATCCATATATGCATGGTCGTGTAGATACTGCCATGTAAGGAAAAAAAGCACACATTTAAGTAAGATACTATTTATGTCATCTGCTCTTGATTGTTCCCGAATCCTATTTGCAAAACTTTATTGTCATGGTTTTGGCTTTTTACTTGAGGAAAGTATTCTAACTGGTCTCTCTCCTTCCCGTTTGTCCAGCGGTGCTGTGAAGTAGAGCAGTAGGTGCAGGCTGGGTACCCTGGGCTTTGTGGGGAGTGTGTTTCTGTGCTCCTTCTGTACCACACAGCCCAGAATGCCATCAGTATAAACTCAAAGTATAAACCTCAGTATAAACTTAAGGGCATTTCTCAAAATGAATTTGTTTCTAAATCTCACCTTGTCGTGACTATGGTGCCTGAACACGGGTGTACTGGAAGGGCGGGTGCGGTCCAGGGAGGAGCTGTTGCTGCTGAGGGCAGTGGGAAGCCTGTCTGAGGTTTGGATGGCGCCTCCAGGACACTGTGTTTACTTGTGTTAGGCTGTCTGTACCTTGCTTGTCACCTGCTGTGCGGGCTCTTTTGAATCTGTTTTGAAGTTTAAGCACAATGTTGGCCCTTCTGTAATTTCCTAAAATTCCATTGTTTTCCCCAGACAGCTGAACTTTAGGAGATATTGCTGTACAATAAACGTGGTTTCCTTTTGTACTAGAACGAGGCTGCTGTTGGAGTTTCTGTGTCACGTGTTTACTGTGTGTTAGGCACTAAGCAGTTCATACTCCTCACTGATTCAGACTTTCCAGATCTCCGTGTGCTTCTCGCCGCTTATTCCCGGAACTCTGTGTAAAACTTTGTGTTGGCTCCCATCAGGTTTATATGAAGTAAAAAAAAAAAACTATAACCCCATAAATAACATTTTTTTGCACCAATTTAGGCCCCCTATCCAGTTCATGAGCACTGTGTAAGACAGGTGCAGCTACAGGTTGAACAGTGAAGGAGGCTACTACCTCATGTGGCTCAGGGTCACCTGATCCCTAAAGCCCAGGGTATGGCAAGTCCTGAAATTCTATTTTTAAAAAATGTTTATTTATTTTTATTTTGTGCTTTTATTTTATCTGCCTGCATAGATGTCTGTGTGAGGGTATTGGATCTCTTGAAACTAGAGTTACAGAGGAGGAGGAGGAGGGGGAGGAGAAGGAAGAGGAGGAAGAGGAGAAAGAAGAAGAAGAGGAGGAAGAAGAGAAGGAGGAGGAGGAAGAAGAGGAGGAGGAAGAAGAAGAGGAATTGTCTCAGGTCTAAGGCAAACCCTAGGTGAGCTGCCATGTAGGTGCTGGGAATTGAACCTGGGTCCTCTGAAAGAGGAACTGGAGCTGCTCTCCAGCCCCCAGAAGCTAGTTTGATTCAGCATGTCAGCTTCTGGGCTTGGGTCCATGGGACAGCCTCTCCCAGGGACTGCTGTTGAATATACCAACAGTAATGCCTTCACCAAGCTTCTGATGCTGCCTTACCATTTCCAGTGTGGTCTTTCTAGCATCCCATGTGCAAACAAGGGCATCTGAGAAAGTGCTACAGCAGCACCGTTCACTAGTCAGGTCCAGATTTGAACCCAGAACACTGGCCCAGGAGTCCACACTCATGGCCCTTTGATTGCATTACTCCATAACTATATACAACCTAGTGAACACTGCCTGAGCCTGGCAGCTTGCCACACAGTGCCACATAAGTGCTGGAACAAGGCTGTGGTCTAGCCTCCCCTATCTGTGTACCCGATTACCTGCTAGTGTGTGTGTGCTCACATGTAGTGTTTCCGGCCAGCTCCACATTCAGATTGGCCCATGGCTTTTCCACTTCAGTCACGCCTTGGCCTGTACTCTAGGCTGGCTCTGCTTTCAAGAGCAGCAGCTTGTTCTCCTGGGGAATTCCCGAGGACAGTGAATCTATCTCATCTGCATGGACAGCTCAGTAATTTAACTCTGCAGGATTGTACTGCCACATTCTGGAAGGCATCCTATTGTTCGTAGCCTTACAAGTGCTAACTGCCTACAACCGTTCTGCAGTAAGCCAGGCTGGCATCTTGTCCTCATTACAGCCTGGGGACTGCCAATGCCTTTAACTGTCATTGTGCGGCTCAGTACTGAAAGAAGAGGGTAAGATGGGACCGTCTCTTGGCAGTTTCAGGAGAGATGGTCAGGTGGAGGTCCTTAGGAACCTCGGAGACACAATGGAAGTACTTTTGAGATCTGGGAAGGATGCTGAGTTATGCAGGTGGTTTTGTTACTTTTTGGAGTTTTCTAAAATGAACCTGTATTTCCACTGGCTAAAAAAACCATTTAGTTTGAAAATGGAACTCCTAGCCAATGAGTACAGGTGGTACCTCACTTCACAGGGTCTGTGGTGGAAAGTGGGGGGGGGGGGGGCCCCGCCAATGGACACATGACTGTGTATCTGTTGAGAGTCTAGGGCATTGCTGAAAGCCTGGAGCTAATGAGCATCTGCTGAAGAATGAGCTTTCCCAGGGGCTCCAACCATGGCTGGGAGCTTGTGGGCCGGGGAGATCTCTGGAGATGAAGGATTAGAAAGCTTGGGCTTTGTGGGATGTCTGTGCCCGGTGGCATCTAGCCTGTTACCTGGTGTGAAACGCCAATCTCTCTCAGCCCAGAGATCAATTATATCTGAATCTAGAATAATGAGAGACCCCAGCATAACTTAGACGCTGCAGGAGTAGATGGAGAAGACACCAATGATCTCAGTTGCTCAACGAACTCCGGACTCCGGGTGAACTTGCAGCCAGCACTGGGTATTGGTGGACAAATCACTGCAAGGTCAGGAGAGGTCGGCTGGGTCCAACTAGACTTTACTATGATTCCTTCAGATTGCTGGGAGTCTAAGAGGGGTTGATTCTAGTCCACAAGTCTCCCTTTAACCAACGTATCCAAAGGTCATGAATGCCTGATCTGTCCTGTTTTCCATCATCATCTATGTGGGCCACAGTCTGTTTCAGCCCTAGAGGGTCAGCAGTGGCAAATATGGCTGTCAGTAGGGAGTTGGCTGGACACTGCCAATGTGGTGAGGCTGAAATAGACACCGGAGTATTAAATGCTGGGCTCACGCATTCTTCTAGACGGAGGGACCAGATTAGGCAGGCTACAAGGTCCCCAGCCCATTTGAGGGCTGAGATGTAGCATTTCAAGTCTCTTAGAATTAAGTCACAACTCTCTTGTTCTAAGGAAGCAGATGCTGAGAATGCTGTGTGCCTGGCTTCTCAGTTACAGAAGTGCTGTAGTGGGAAGCTACTGCTTACCCCACCTCTCCACTCCTGGCTGCACGCAGTCCCAGCCGGCAGCTTTATGGTGGACCCCGCCAGCATCCGAACCCAACTAGTCTCTGGCTATGATGGGGACAGGAGACCAGTGACAGAGCCTTGCTCTTAGAGGTAAGTTCAGGAGAGAAGTCTGGGGTAGGTGGTATGTGAACTCTTTCCATCTGCCCAGTTCTGAAGCTGTAATTTCATGTAGGCATTCAGAAAGTCACTAAGCACCTCAACCTGCCCCTCGGCACTGCAAAAAAATCATTCTTGAGCTCATAACTAGCAGAGATACACATATGCTCACAAAAGTCAGACTCAAGAATGGCAATAGGCCAGTCGTTATTTCCTGGGATGCTCGCTCACATTGGAATTGGAATGAGTTAGTCTAGTCACAGTGGAATGCTGTTCAGGAGTGAGAGAGTATGACATGGACACACACACACACACACACACACACACACACACACGTGGGGAGGACTTGCTTATAATTCTCACTGATATGCAAATATCTGTGCAATTAGGAGTCAGGTTATTCTTTGACCTAGGGGTTGAGAATCTGCCTTGCAGGTTGCCTCTATGTGCTTGTTCATGTGATACACAGAGTTTGTGAACATTTCTGCCCACACCTGAGGAAAAAAAATGGTGACTTTAGGAAACAGTAGTGACACTTCCTGCTTGAAGCTGAGCCTGGCACATGTGTGGCACTCGTAACCTACCGACTGTGCCAACAGAACAAAGAGCACACCCTCCTGCCCTGAGCAGAAGTAGGCGGATTAATGAGCACTATGAACAGTACCATGGGGAGTGTTCCCTGGAGCACTGACAAGGTGAGAACCAAATGCTGTTTTCCTGGGGTGGGGTAATAAGGGGCTGAGAAGGGCTTCACAGAGAAGCCTGGAGCAAAAAGAGGGACCTGAGTGTCCCGAGAAGGAGGGGACATGCACTTCCATGCTGGGGCAGCCCCTGGAGCTCAGTTGTGCTCTGGCCTTCCCTGGAGTGCTCCTGACCTACCAAGAAGGCCACATAGCAGGAGGCCTTTCTTGTGCTCTGGGTGCAGCTGCAGCTTTGGGAAACAGTTTCTGCAGACGAAGCTGGGTGGAAACACTGTTCTAAAAGGATCCCCAAAGTTCTGAATTATTTATCTGCTAAAGCATTCACCGTGGATGAGCTGGTATTTCTCTCACATAGTCTCTCCCTGCCTCCTGGCAGCCATATTGGGCCACACCTTTATAAAACATTTTCCCAGACATCTTGAGAACTTTGCTGTGTGTCGGAGCTTTTCAGAGGAACCAGCAGCTTGCCTCAGCTTGGGGGAGCTGAGAGGGAAGCAGTTTGGGGCTGAGCCTAGAGCCCTGCTCCTGCTGGCAGCCTAGTGCTGTCCCTTATGCTTTGTCTCTTTGGAGCATTTGCAGAAGCACTTTCTCTGGCTCTCTGCATTCAATGCTGGAGCCTTACGACCGTCACAAAGTTCTGTAGAGGGGCCCTCATCTGTCCCAGCGAGAGCTGTAGCAGGCATTGATGTTTCTGACCAGGAGTAGCATGACTTAAGCAGAGGACCGGGGTCCCCCAAAAGTGTAGCTTAAGGGTCTCTGGGACATCTCTCCCCTCTCCTAAGGGGCTAAGGGGGCAGCAGCAGGACCTAGAACTATGGTCATGGGGTGGGTAGGGAGGAGTCTCTATGGGTGAGGGGGCTTGCCATATAAGTGAGAGGACCGAGTCTGCATCCCCAGAACCTGTACAAGAGGTTGGGGGCTGCACGTGCCTGGAACTCCAGCATAGAGGGGTAGGGACAGAGAGATGGATCCTGGGAGGTCTCCTGTCCACCAGCTTACCCAAATCACTGAGCTCTGCAATGCAAGAGAACAACCCAGGCATGTGCACTGAAGAAAACAAACAGAAAAAACAGAGGCAGATAACTAGGAGTCGACCCTGGGGCTGCCTGTCCCACCTTCTGAGCTTGGCTCCCCACCTCTCACCTCCTAGAAAGCTCCGTCACAATGTCAGCAGAGCCAGTGTCTGTCCCCATACCAAACTGAACTGAACCTCAAGACACCACTTGGTAGAACCTCTGGTTAAGTGCTAGAAGAGGGGACAGGTGGGATCCCAGATGCCAGGGCCTGGGGCCTCAGCTCAGGCTTGCTACAACCCTAGTACACCAGGGCCTGGCACTCACAGGGGACACCTGAGCCACTCCAGATGAGCCGGGGGTGGGGGGGGGACACTCTTGAAAGCACACTCTGTTTCTTCTGTGTGTCTGTTGGTTCTCTCAGCCTTGATTGATCAGTGAGTCTCCATGCTCTCCTTCAGGTGGAAAGTACCACCCCGCACCTTCTTCTGGACTCACTTGGGAGGTGCTACTCCTTGAGAGGTTCTACTTCTCCACAGCAGCAGCAGGCTCTGCTCTGGG